TTATTATTTTATTTATTATTTTTTACATTTTTTAGATGATTTTAAAGGAAATTTTAGGAGGAAAATAGATCATATTTTATTATTTTATTATTTTTTTTGAAAATAGTAATATTATAATAATGAATATTTAAGATGATTTAAGGGATTTTAGAAGGAAAATGAATTATATTTTTATTATTTTACATAATTTTTTCATTTTTTGCTTATATTTTTTTAAATAATAATCAAAAATAATTAAAATATTAAATATAAAATATATAATAATAAATATACCCAAAATTTTTTAGAATTAAAATCTTTTATATTATCTTCATTAATAGAATTTTTATATATTATTTCTTTTTTTAAGAATTTTTTTTAAAATAAACAAATAATTAAACTTTTTTTTTATTTTATATTTAGTTATAAATAATCATAATTATATTATTTAATTTTACTAAATTTTATTAGACTTATTTATTGTATACTCTCCTAACATAGATTATGAGAAAATTTTTAATAATATTAAAATCATTAATTTTTTATAGATTTTTAATTTTAAATTTTTCAAAAAGTTACATATTGATCGACACCTAATTTTTTATTGAAAAATTATATTAATTAAATTTATTGATACCAATTAATATCATGTAGGATATCCTTTAGCTTTAACTACAGCTTGAATACGTCAGTTTATACTTTTAATCAAATTTTGATAAATTGTAATATCTAATTTAATCCATTTCTTCTGTAACAAATCAAATAATTCTGTTTTATTTTTTGATAAAAGAATATGCTTACAAATATGACATTTTAATTTATCTTAAATATTTTCAATAGGATTGAGATCAGGACTCTATGCAGGCCAAAAAAGTTGATCAATATTATTTTATGAAATTCATTGTAAAGTTGTAATTACTCGATAAATTGAAGTATTATCTTATTAAAATATATAATTATTTTGATTATCTATTCCTTCTAAATAAGATAACAAATGGTTATTTAAAATATTAATATAATCATTTGCATTTTATCGATTATAAACACAGACTAAAGGATCCAATCCAAATTGACTAAAACATCACCAAACTATTACATCCTTATGACCTGATTTAAATATTGGAATCAAACAATTAACATCATATTTTTTTTTGGATTTTCTTCAAATATAATCACAGCCATCCTCTTTAAATACTTTAAACTATGATTCATTACTTTAAATAATAACTTCTATTCTTTATTCCAATTGAGTCATTCTTATGTTCAGTTTAAATGTATTTTACGATTCTTTTTATTTATAAAAGGTTTTCTTTTACTAATCTGACCATAAAATTCTTTCTTATAAAGATATCATTATATAGTATGTGAGAAAATATTAGTAGAGATTGTTTGATAAATTTATTGATTAAAATATTTAGAGAAGACTTTCTATCTTTTTTTAATAAATAAATAAGATAGCGTGTATTTCTATTAGTTAGTTTAGGTTGTGGTTAAAGATGGCGCCTCAATTAGTTGCAATAGGTGACAAATAAGCATCACAATGTTGCAACGAATTGCAACATTATTATAATTTAAGTTGCAACAGGTGACAAATAAGTGTCACAATGTTGCAACGCCATCTTTAGTTGTGGTCCAAGTTGTGGAAAAGGTTTTATTGCACCAGTTTTTTTTATAAAACTTAATAATTCTATAGACAGTAATTTTTTCAAATTTTAGAGTTTTTATAATAGTAGGAACTGGCACTCCACATTTCCAAGCACTGATAATTTAGTTCCTTTCTTCGTCTGTTAGTTCTCGTCAATTTTCATTCATAATAAATAAAAAAGGAAAGAAAAAAAACTCTTTATTTTAATAATAGAGGATATTTTCCCGAAAAAAATAAAAAAATTTGTATCACTTTATTTATGCCAATCAGTTTATATATAATACGCGAAAAAATCAATATTATTGTTGATCATCTATAATTTTAAAAAATTCCCGTGACCTATGTTAGAGGAATGTATCAATATTGTTATATTATTTTATTATGATGTAATAATAATATATAAAGGGATCTTTGATTTATAAACAATTTGATTATTTAAAAAGTTTATTATTAAATCATGTTTGCTATCAGATTGATATATTGATGATAGCAAAAAAATAATCAAGGTGAAATCTGAAAATAATTATGTAATATTGTTATTTTAATACCTTATTAAATGTAAATAGTTTATAGATAATTTAGATGATAATGAAAATTTAGCACATTCTAAATGTATCAAAATTAAGCTTGATCAATATGAAATAAACATAAAATTGAAAATTCCAGATTCATTTCTAACAATATTGAAATTAATGGACTTTTGAAAAGTTTTATGCAATTATATTTTTCATAATTTTCTTAGAACAAGTTTTTTAAAGAAAGAAATTAGCTACTATCAAATGGTTTTATATAATATAGTTGAACTAAATGACAATTATCAATATATAAAGTTAAGTGTTAGTGAAGACAGTTGTAACAATTCTATCTACTGATAAATAATCTGCATTAGGTATCATTAAAGGAATAATTGAATAGAATGATGGTCTTAAGTGTTCATTTATTTGGATCGGTTGGAAGATCTTAAAAAATATGATGGTTTGTTAGACTGTCCTATTTATCAGCTTGCAATAATTCTTGGGATTGAATTCATCCTATCTCCATTGTGTCTAAGTCATTATTGTTAGGGGTGAGACACTTTTCACAATAAATAACATTACAAATCATGAATATATCTGAAATGATTTCTCTCTTTATAGCAATTTAAAGGATGTGGCATTATAATTTTACAGAATATTGGAATTTTGAGTACATGACATAGTTTATTTATTTTAGAATTGCAGTACAAATGTAATAACTAAACTTATGTAATTTATGTAAGACTTTACATTACAAATTAAATTTTTATTTCTTTAAAGATTTCAAGTAAGTATTTTTTTATATGTAATTCTTCAATTACTGTATATACGATATACTGTAGCTAATATTGGTAAATTATTGATTTTGTAGTGTTTCGATATTAGTTTTGTGATAAATCAGCTAGTAACATGAAGGTCCGTTCATTGATCATAAAATACAATCTTTAGAATAATAAATGCGTTATATTATTAATATAATAAAATATTTGTACTATATTTGTCATTTCTTTTCAAAAAAATTTCGTTATAATTGTTCTATATAATTAAATATAAATCAAAAGAAAAAAGATAAAAAAATCCACTAAAAATTGCTAAAATAAAAAAAATTTTTTGAAAAATTCATTATCAGCGATGTTAAGTGGCTTAAAAATAAGGCAAAAAATTACTAATCTAATTTTGGAAAGTTTTTGCAAAGCTCGAAGAGAGTTTGCAAATTTTTGCGATTCTCCAAGGGTTTCTCATATAATTGAACTGAACCCTCGGATTGTTTTTTATGCAATCTGAAACCGACCTCCGACCTGAACCAAAAAATTCTTCGCTTTAGGTATAGATGTAGCTCTAGTATTCAACATTCAAGAGATTTAAACGAAAGACTAAATGATAAATACAAAGTATTAGTCTTATAATGAAATTCCTTTTTACCTAAAAATAAAAATTAAAAAAAATACTTGTTACTATATAGCAAAATAAACAAAAATAATTTCTTTTAAAAAAAAGCTGTCCGCCTCTATAATTAAAAATTATTTAAAACTCGTCATTCTATAGCAAAAAATAAAATTTAAAAAAAAAAAAATTGATCGACTCCATATATAGTAAAAAAAAAAAAAATATGTGACCGCAGAAAGCCAGCCGTAATCAGACGATCCGCGGTCGTTATCAATATAGGTTTTTCTCAAAATTATGGCCTTCAAAATTCTATATAAATAGGTCATTAAACCGATCATCCAATTTGAATCAGGTGACTTTAATTCAGGTGACTTCAGGACTTTATATACAATTTATTCGTTCTATTCAGGATGATAGATTCCATAACTTATTAAAAAGTCTCTAGTTCTGGATTGAATTGTGCTTTTTTTACAATATATATCATGTTTCTGCATTTTTTTTTGTAATCGGACGCACGTATTAAGTTTAACTCTTTAAGAAAGCTTTCTAATAGCCAGAAACGAATGAAAAGTTTTGTATATGTGCGTTAAAGCCAATTTTTTGTACACATTTAATAAATGTGACGAGATTTTCAAAATCATTTACTTATAAGTTTGCCCGAGAAGGGAAAAAAAAGTTCATCAATGACGCAATACGAATATCTCAACTTTGATACTATTATTTTCCTGCGGTACATATACATTTATTTATATTTTAAATTTATTTCTGCCACGACTTGTTTGTGTGAAGGTTGAAAATAGGATGAATTTAATGATTGAAAAAAATTCGTAAAACGACGCCCAAATTAACGGTGAAGGTAATTATGACGAGATATGTGTCATTGACATAATCAAAATTAGGTTCGAAAATTTAGAATGAAAATTTCTAAAATTGTATGGTATATATGAGAAAATTCAAAGACTTTATTCTATTTGCTGCGACGACGACATTGTTTATTGAATGATACGCGCTTTACTTTTTGATCTTACTGACTTTGTCAGAGAAAATTATTTGAAATTTTGAATTAATTATTGGCAAAAGTTGGTTCCCCTGTTTCTTTAACTGGTTCTTTTGAGATTTCCGTTTAGTCTCGGTTAGCTTAAAGTAAGAGTGATTTTGTGGTACTATTTATAGAAATATATCGTCCTTCATTTCGTTCCGGACTAATAAAGTCGTGATAATTGCATTTATCACAAAATTTTTGATATTTTGCGGAATAAAAATGACCATGAACAAATTTTATTTCTTTTACTTCGAATCGAATCATCTTCAATTTTACATGGTACATGGTGTAATTAAGAAAACGTGGGCAATTTCCATTTTCCGATTGTTCAATGAACGCGTTGATGTAGAATCTTTAAACCAATCATTTTGAAGCAAAAATATATTCACGTAAATATCATTTTAGTAGGTTTATAGTTTGTTAAAAAAAAAAAATGGAAGAGTTTTTCACAGAATTGACACAATTTGGTTTGCAACTCGAAGAATCATGTCGAGAGTTGAGGTTTGTACCTATACCATATTTTATTATATTAAAAGTTTGATAGAACACTCGAATATAACAAAGATTTAACATTTGTTATCCATACTCCATAATAAGGACTACAATTGAAAGTCCTGCGTTGCCGGTATCCTCGGGATATCATGAAAACTTTCGTGATATGTCGATACAAAGTAAATCAATGTTGAATGAAGTAATTGCTTTAGAAAAAACTCAAAATATCAATCATCCTATGTCGAAATTAGTTTTGGCTACGAAAAATGTTTATGATCAGGTAGGTATTCAAACTCTGTTTAAAAAACAATCCGATATTTTATCATGATTTGAAATTTTTATCCAATGTTATTTTATGACAGATGAAACATGAAATAAGTTTACTGGAGGAACAATTACGTGAATTTGGGTTGGAAGGTAGTCGTTTAAGAGTTACACGTATTTTCGCGTTATTTGACTCATAGAAAATTTGAATATTCACTTTATTTTATGTAGAAATTTTCGTTGCGAAATCTGCAATTGCCAATGAGGAAATGAAGGAAACGGTCGAGGAAATCATGAAGTCATCTAACGAACCTCCAAAGTTACATCCCGAACCCGAAAGACGAAATACATCACCTGTTACCAAAACATTTAAAAGACTTTCCACTCAAACACAAGAAAGTCCGACACTTGAAAGCTTTGGTTTATCGGATCACGCGATGGCACTACTTAAAGCTGGTGTATATCGATTAAAAAAAAAAAAGAAATCATTAATTCAAGTATATTACCCTTATTTATTGTTACTTGCAAATTGATAATTAGGTACCCCCGAATTGATTAAAGGTTATGGGATTCAACTCATTTCTAATGATTCGGAAAAACAAAAGGATATGCCAATTGAAAAAGTTGCCAAGAAAATTGACGTGACACCAACGTCAGCATTGGAACGTCAGCAAATATCACCCATGTCAAGTTTTCCATCTGATCAAATGTCAGAATGCACACAAATTAGACCCATTACAAAAGAAGAGATGGCAACTCTTGGTTATGATATTCGCAGACAAGTTTCTATGGAAGTAAGTTTATTGTGTGAAATATAATAATCGTAATTAAATTTATTTCTAACTTTGATGACAGTTTTTAAATCAGGTCATATATGACATTAATGAGATGGTCGCAGGTAAGTTAAGGTCCTTTATCATCATTATTTTTTAAAATCTTGGTAAAATATTGACAGGAAATATATAATATTTTATCAAGATAAACACGACTTGCCAGATTTTCCGCGACAAGCTTGGAATGAATTCACGTATGATGAACTTTTGAATGAAATTGGAGTGGGTAAGTACAAATAAGAAAACACAAATATATATTAAGTTTTCTATTCTAACACATCAAATTTGACAATTTTTTTCTTTTTATTTAAAAGGTGGAACAGCTGCAATTGATATTGTTTTATTAGCTTTGATAACTTTGGATAGAATTGTATCAAGATGCAGCGATCCTGATCTATTGAAAAAAAGATATCGAATTCTTTAGTTCATTTCAATAAATCCGTTTTAAAATTTTTTTTTATTAAGATAATTTAATGTGGTGGCGGAAAAAAAAAAAATATGGGTCAGTCCCATTGTATAGAGTAAATTGTCGGTTACACAAATCACATCAATTAATAATTTTTTCTTTTAAAAAAAAAATAAATCATACCCTCTATGTTCTTTTCCTTGCACCATTGGAAAGCTTATTTTAATTTATCTGTTATTTGAGTTATAGTTTTACGTTCTCGTCGTCTAAAACTTTTTAATCAATATATTCATGATGTTTTTAACACACTAAAACTTTAGTCATTGGTATTGGAAATTAAGCATTCTTTGGAACTCCTTTTCAGCGATTCGTTCTAATAGCACCAGATAAACCTCCACGAGGGTAATTTAAGTAAACGAGCAATTTATCATAAGCTTATCTCCAAACTGTGTACATTATTATTAACATTGTCAATATAAGAGTGTGTTCACCGGATATTAAAGTTGGAAGGCTGATGCATGAATTATTTCTCTTTTATGAATAATAATCAATTAAAAATTACCTGAATATCTTGTAACTGCAACAATATCCATGCTTTATACATTGGATGATAATTTTTTGACCATCAAATATCTAATATGCAAATAATTTCATTATAAAGAGATCATTGATTATAAAATTTTGAAATTATAAGGTTGTACCACAAAGGTTGATCTTTATAATTTAACATTAGCTGAACTTTAGTACTTCCCAATTGGAATGCTATCTAACTTTGTATGTCTGGAGGAGTTCTAGTTTTTCTGACGCTAATTTGTGGGGAAAATAAAAATTAACAATGTTTTGTTTTTATTTTATTAACTAAAAAAAAAAATTTTTTTGTTTATATTTGTTTTATTTTAATAAACTTATTTGCAAATCGGGTTTAATTAATAATCCAAGAATTCACGAAATCATTTAATCTGGATTCCGCGGAGAAAAATTGCATTTAATAAATCCTGTGTACGACACATTCTTTTTTTTTTTTGTCAGTTTCATAATTTTCGTAACCTCTTGGCTGAATTCTCGGATGAAGCCTCGGAGGATTATCAAGAATTTCTTTTATATCTTAAAAACCGTAAGTGGGAAAGACCGCGGTATTTAGATTTTCATCCATTCCACTTATACTTTACGTTTATTGTTTACTAGTGGCTTGCACAAAATTCCTTTTGAAAAAAGATTATCTTTTTAAGATTCATAAATCGCACATGTAAAAACTATTGGCGCAACATTAAAATAGAAAGTAACGGAAATAATAGGCTTTATCTAAAGACATACCTGTGTCCTGAATACAAAAGTAAAGAAAAAACTTCTGTTTTGAATTATTTCATATGATTCATTTCCAAACGCAGTTAAATATTAAATTTTCAATTTGTCCGGTAAATACCGAAGATGAGTAATACCAAGAAAAATGATTCAATCGGTATAAATTGATAAATTGAAAAAAAAGAGACGGACGAAATATTTTCAAAAATTCAAAAATTCAGAATAAATATTGATGATTACGAACTGTACGAACTGTAATAATGATCGACATTAATGATTATGAAAGACGGACGGAAAATTAGAAATTTTTCCGCTCAAAAATTCTATATTCTCAAATCAGAAATTGTGCATAAATAATAGTCCCCCGTTTATGAAATTCTTAAATCAAAACGGGTATCCCAAGTATGATGATTCCAAAGCGAAAAGAACCTTGCATTTGATAGTAGAATGTTAGATTATTAATTAGTAGGACAAAATTATATTCATTTTAAAGAAATGTTCAATTCGTTACAATTTTCCTTGTTGGAAAATTCCTGAAGTAAAAATATTGTAAATATTAGTACAAGTTAAATCTTTATGGGTTCATGTTTAAGAGGTATATCGTGTTGATGATTTATGCAAGAAGTTCACGCATAACATCATAGATTGATATTAATTTATTAATTTGCATAAATTGATCCATCTAATCTAATCTAAAGTGTACAAATAGTTTCCCGAAAAGATTCATTTTCACCTGCACCAAATGAATATTTCATATTGTACCTTTTAACACATCTTTTTTTAACCATCTTGTATCAACTTTTTCTTAACAGAATTGTGAAATAACATATATATCAATTTCCTTTTCTGATTCTTTCCGTTCTTTGTTTTAATCCCCATAATAAATAATCTATACCGTTTACGAATTAGTCGACCCCAAAAATTTTAAAAAAAAAATTTTAACAGATTAAATGTTTTCGTTCTTTACTGCGGCTCGGTGAGAATTTTTATATGTGGGAACCTCCATTAAAAAGGCGGTTTTTTCGTGACCCTGAGAATTATGTTCCGCAGTCCGTATCAAAGGAACGGCGATCATTCCGCATCTTTCTGATTGTCTCAAAACATTCTCACGAATACTTGATAAAAATTAACAGGTTTTTTTTTTTTTTTTTTTTTTTATGGGGAACAAAAAATATTAATGGGAAAGGTTTTAATTATATATTTATATATTTACCATAGGATGCCGCAGTAAGTAATTTAAAAATTTTCGAAACCTATATACTGTTATGTATAACCCTATTCATTCATTGCTCAAATGAATCCGAAATTCAACTCATTAGGAAATACCCAACCTAAACATTGACGCAAGGCGAACAAAGGATATATTACTCTACGAAGATAAACAGAAAAACCAGAAAATGTAACCTGACAATCTCTTTTACTTTTATTTAAATTTAGAAATAATAAAATGAGTTGTCTCTTGCTTATCTTATATGACGAACAATTTTGTAATATTTGCGCCACTTGGGTAAAATCCATAACTTCTTTTAACGTTATAACATTTCCAAATAATGCAATTTAGAAACTCCTCGATAATCGTATTAATAAGGGCATAAAGAAAAAAAAAAAAGGCTTATCTGATCATCCGTCAAACATCTTTATTGACATCTTAAACCTGTTTGGACCAAATATGATGCAGATTAACCCTGTGGAGTTACTGTTTATCACTCAGTTTCCCGCTATTAATGAGTAGTTTAAAATATTATCTTTTGACACCACCTCATATAAGTACTTAAATTTTTTTACCATTTTCCCATTTCTCGAGGGTTTTTTTCTTAACTTTTTTTAATTTTCTCTTTTTTTTTTTTTTTTTCCTTTTTTTCAATTTAAAAATTATCCCTTTTTACATGAGATAACATGGGATCAGAAGAAAGACCTCGTAATCAAGAGGAACTTCCTTTTATTAATAATGTTAATACCGTTGTTAGCCCTGCTTCACCTCGCGCAAGACATTCGGTTGGCTCAAATCGTTCTTTTACAAATGCGATGCATAATGCTTTACATTTTACTACTATTACAAAAAGTCCAAATTACGGATTCGGTCGTTCTTTTCTTAGCACGCAAAATAACTTTGAAAGTGGTATGCATTTTTTTTTATCATTTTATTCTTTCAAAAAAAAATTTTGGATTTCTTTTTTTTTTTTTTTTTACAAAAAAAAGTTTATTATTATTACTATGATGGTTGTTGGTTCATGGACAATGCTGCGATTGTAATGATCATCAAACAAATTACTTATTAATCAGATCGGGATATTTGGTGCATCATCAAGATCATCATTTGATAATATTGATAATTTTGAATTTTGATCAAAATCATCTTTTGTTTGTACAATATTTCGTGTTTTACCGAACCAGTTTGGCACCTATCAAACCAGTTTGGCACCCATTAATTATACCAATTTAAAAAATTTCTTAATTAAGATTATTCCATGATATAATAATTATGTATTTTCCCAACACAAAAATTAATTAGGTCATCCATCATATTCCGCTTCGCCATCAATAATTCGCAACCAAACGTTGGCCCTTGGAAACTTGAACTCTTTACCGGAATCTGATAAAAAAGAAGGATCACCACCAAAGGATCCGAATGTTGCCGGACAAAGTAATTTATCATTGCTCTTACAAAGAGAATCGAAAACTCCATCACCGCCAGAATTGGCAACAAAATCTTCCAATTCTCCACCATCGATTGCCGCAGCAATTGCTCAAATAGGACAAACTCAAAACAATAAAAACAATCATAATGTAGATAAAATACATTCAGAATCGGACGGAAATTTTGAAACAATTGAAAACATTCAAGATGAATCACGACCTTTACTTCATCATCAGTTTGGAATACCTAGCAATTATGGAATTGAAGGAGAAATCGGTGATGATGTTATTTCAATTGAAGATGATCCCTGGGCGGAAAAGTCTTGGATAGGAACTTGGTTACCCTGCGTTGGTGATGATTATCTTCCAAATTATGAGGGAGAAGAGCGTCCACAGCAGAAATTTCAATTTAATGCAGAAACGATTTTCAGAGAAGTTATTTTGAATCCGATATCATATATCCCGGCCGTCATTCTTGGACTTTTATTGAATTTGCTAGATGCTATCTCTTACGGTATGAAGAATTCACGTAAAGATTAGAAAATGATAAGATGGTTGTATTAATTTTTGAATTTTCTAAATTTCTTGAAATAGGAATGATCACGTTTCCAATTAGCAACCCTATCTTTCGTGAATTTGGACCTGATGGTATTTCCATGTTCTTTGTAAGGTGAGAAAATTTTTTACGATTTTATTTTATTCATTTTTCGCATTATTGATTCCATTCTTTCTTTCCGCAGTTGTATCGTGTCTCAAGTGATTTATTCCGGTGGTTTTAGTATTTTTGGAGGTGGTAATGGTAGCATGATGATTGAAGGTAAAACTTTTTTTTTCTATTTTGTTGAATAACATACTTATTAATCGGCGTACTACAATAATTTTTTTTTTTTTTTTTTTTGAACGTAGTTGTGCCATTCTTACATATTATGTGAGTAAAATAATTAGGCTGCGAGATGTTTTTCTTAAAAAATTAATTTCACTGATGGAAATTTTTTAGGGCTGAAATTATTATCCGAGAAGCAAATGATCCTAGTGAAATAATCCCTACAACTATTTTGTCATTTGCTTTAAGTTCCGTG